ATTGATAGAACATGTATTGTCCCAGTACCTAAAAAATAGCACAAGAAACATGCTCCTCCGCCTAGAAAGCACATCCATTACAGACTTCCAAATTTTAGCCCTTTCGTGCACTTTAACCGTTATTACAAACATAAAAACCATTTTTCAAACGATAACATTTTTTAAAGGCAAGTAGGCCTTTCGATGCTAAATAGCCGCCTATGAAAATGACAACCGTGGGGCGAGATCGTTGTCCACCAAAAATCTATTTTTGTAGGTAAACCACTTAAGAGGTCTACCCGAAAAGATGTTAAACGTATTAAAAGCCGCCCCTACCCACCAAAATCGCTAAGTCATCACACATCTCAGCCCTCATCTTTCCCTCCCGTCCTCTCCCGGCGCAGATCCGGCCAGAGCTACAGCCAGAGGGTAGTGACGTCGGCGGCTACTGGCGGTGACGGCCGTGGCTCATGGCGGTGGCGGCGTAGAGGGTGGAGGCGGTGGCAGCTGGCTCCCCTCCCTCCTAGATCTGGCCAGAGGGGGTAGGGGGACGGCGGCAACGGGTACCGGCGGTGGCAGCACAGAGGGTGAAGAAGGCGGCGGCTCCCCTCCCTCCTCCCAGATCAGGTGGATGCTGCGATGGCTCCCCTCCCTCTCTTCCTCCCAGATCTGGCGAACGGGGGAGGGGGGAGGGCGGCGACGGCGGCTATCGGCGGTGGTGGCGGCGCGGAGGGTGGAGGAGGTGGCGGCTCCTCTCCTTCCTCCCAGATGCGGTGGAGGCAGTAGCGGCGGTGCGGAGGGTCGAGGCGGTGGCAGGTCTAGGTGGTGGCGGCTTCCCTCCTCTCCCTCCCTCCCTCCCTTAGCTCCAGGCGACAGCCTCCCTCCCTCCCAGATCTAGCCAGAGGGGGGAGGGGCGGTGGCGGCGGCACGGCCAAACGTGGGTAGGGCAGGTTAAACCTTTACTTTTAGATTTAATCACGAGTAAAAGTTTTACTAAGAGAAAGTTCTACTCTTGCTGATGTATGTCAATTTTTTATATAACGGTACTTTACAAATTTCAATGCGTTTGTGGTTTGCACTATTTTTTTCCTGAATCAATTAACTTGGGTGAGTATTACATGTCTCCTGACAAGTCAGGAAGGTATTTTTATTATGAGAGAATATATTCTATACCATTCAGCTTGTTTGAGTTCAATGATTTGCAATGGATATTGTATCTTTCTATAATATTCCAGTGACTTTATCAATTGCTCTACAATACATCATAGGGCTAGACTCTTTTTTTTTTCAAAAATACCCAAAATACCCTTAGAAGCATATAATATTAACAATTGATTTATCTCATCAGAAGTTTCAAAAAATATGAAAATTTTTATGTGGCCTCCTTATACACAATATGGAACTTTGTATACAAGTTTCAAGTTTTTATTTAAGAGATAATAATTAATATATATTGATACTACTAAATATATCTAAGATGCTACATCTGGCAAACATGCATACTTGGCCTTATATATATATCCTGGAATGCAAGAAAAGATTACTATTGCAGGTGATAGAGACAGGAAGGGCAAATGCTGGTCTACGGCAAGCCACTCCAGGCTACTTCCAGCTATAGCCAGTAAATAAAAATTAACTTGCTCATAGAGATCTCCATATGTATAAACTTGTTGCATGGGCTTGGAAGGTTTCAAGAATTCAGTGTGCACCAGATGTTTAAACAAGGCATGAGGGAGCCTGCAAAATTGCCCCTGATCGACCCGTCGCCATGGAACGTCGTGCAGTTGGTTGGGTGCGAGCGTCCTGTGTGAAAGTTTGGTGTCTTTGTGGTACGCCTCATTGGCACTAAATTAAAATAAATACAGTTTTTTTTCACTCTGAGTTTGAAAATATTTTACTAAAATCAAACAAATTAAAATCATTTAACCATAAGCACTTCCTACCATGTCTACTGCCTTCGAAAATTCCAGAAATTTAGTTTCACAAATAAGAATGGGTTAATATAATTTACAAATGCTAATTAGTTTGGAATAACTTTTACTTTACAAGATGCGATATTTAAAAAGCGATTCAATTGGTTAATTGTGTTCAAAGTAGATCGTGTATCTAATTGAACCGGTCGTGTTCAAAGTAGAAGGGGTTGGTTTTGCCTCTTAATTATAGGACCTACCTACATCAAACTTGGTATAGAGATCAATTAGAACTCAAAAAATATCTCCCTAAGCAAGAAAACCCGAGACACCATAAAATTCAATTCGAACTTAGACCTAGCTGATCTCACAGGCCCTACACCACCGGTCAGACCATAAGCACTTCCTATAGGCGGCCATCAAATCGGTCATGTGATGGAAATCCGATGCTTCCAAACTTTGATAATGTGTTTTCTATTTCGAGTATAGGTATCAAGTTTGGGTGCTAACAAATGTTATAAGTAAATGTCCAGGGTGCATATCCACCCAAATGACAAAATAGCTGAAAAGTTTGGGTACATTAATTCCAATTGAATGCTTGGATGCATATATGCATGCTAGGCTTTACACAACTACACCGATACATATGTCGCAAATTATGCGTGTGCTTTTTAGGGCTTAGGAGGCATTGGGACTTCGATATGCATGCATACATATGGTAGGCAGGGCTTGTACAAGATTGCCCGTATGCGCCTTCGATTGCACGCCGTGTGAGCTGATCGTTATCCCAAGTATGATATCAGGCTCTTTCTTCGTTCATCTCTCAGAGGCACTGCTTTGCCAAAACTTCACCCTTTCCTTGTTCCATTCTTCACGAGAAAATGGCATGGGGTTGCTATGGCTGAGATACGCTTATCGTCATCACGAATGTAACCCGATTAAACAAATATTACTACCAAATTAACATTGCGTTGATAGTAAATCAGGGTTTCCGCTTTCGTTTTCAACCAAGAATTTTGAATTTTGGTGTCACCGAAATTTTTCTAGAACTTCCAAACTTTACTCAGCATGAAATTATTTAAAAATTTAACAAATTTTCACTGAATTTGAAGATTTTTAACCAAATTAAAAAAAAACTGGAAACTTCGGGCTACATATTTGCTTGCCGGTAGGGATGAAATTACCAAAATTTCTGAAATTTCGAATCGAAATTGCAATCAATGTTTTAAATGGATAGGGTATGATGCTGAAAATGATGATTGATTAATAACTCAAACTCAAGCTGTTTGAAGAAAGGAGAAACAGATAAAAAGATGAACAGATAGAGAAGGCCGAATAATATAATGCTACTTCATATGACGACATATATACTTAAGGAAAAAGTACGAATTACCCCCCTAACTATCGAGGTCGACGAATTACACCCCCGAACTCGAAAACCAGACATTCTCCACGCTCAACTATTGAAACCGGATAAATAACCCCCCTGACTCCATCCGGAGTGGTTTTGGGTCCACATGGCAGTCCAGTCAGCAAATTTTGTTTATAAAATCAGTGGGCCCCACCTGTCAGTTCCCCTCCCCTCTCTATCCCTCACTACTCTATCCTAATCTCTCCTCCACTCTCTCCTCACCAGCACGGTGGCGACCGCTCTAGGGCGGGAGCAGGCGACGCTGCCGGCGGCGGATGGTGGCGGGCGGCGGGTGGCGGGCGGTTGAGACGGAGCGGAGCTCGCCCGGGCAGCCGGTGGTGGAGGCGGAGGCGGAGGCGGAAGGCACTCTTCGACCTCCTCCTCATCGACCGGCGACACGGCCGCCGCGGGTAGGACGGCGACGCCAACTTCCTCTCCTCGGACGTCCATGCCTGGACCAGGCCGCCACGCTCCTACTCGTCGTCATCGTACCGAAAAGGCGACGGCATTGTGCCGGCGCACGGGCGGCCGATCGATCTGTTGTCTGTAGTGTAGGCTTTGGAGGCGACGCGACGTGGGTCGACGGCGACGCGCCGCCGCCCACGACGACGTGGGGCGCGCGGGTGGAGGCGGTGGTGGCGCTGGCGTTCAAGACGGCGGTGATCGACGATCCGTCGGGGGCGCTGCCGACGACCCGTGCCGGTGGGCCGGCGTGACATGCGTCAACACGTCGTCGTCGTCGTCGGCGTCGCCATCGCCGGGAATAACCTGTCCGCCAGTACCTGCAGATCGATGCATCATATGCATGCACTGTCAACTTGTTCTAGAGAGCAAGATCGAAGCTAAGCTTAATTAAACTAATCACAGTGTGTGCATTGTGGAAACAAGATTTCGGCAATAATAAAAGGGGGTGGCTATCAAGCTAGGAAAGTGGATGGGTTTAGAGACAAGGAGTTTTATACAGGTTCAGGCCTTCTTATTCAAGAAGTAATACCCTACTCCTGTCCGGGGATGATTCCGCCGAGTGTGTTATTGATTGTATGATTGGGAGAAAAAAAGAATCGTCCCGAGAGGAACCCGGACCCATCCTTATATAGGGGAAGGGATCCGTTTTACAAACTACAGTCCATATCCTAACGGAACATGGGATTACAGATAAAATACAATCGTAACCGACTAGGATCCCGGGTATTTTCTTGACATACAAGTTTAGAATCTAACCCGAGTTCTCATAAAGATATTCTATCTATATTTGGTACCATATATCCAGCTGGAACATAACCGCCATGTAGATATGGGGTAACCATAATCTCCACATGCATCGTCGCTGTATTTTTTGGTTTCAAAGCCCAAGAAACCAGGAAGAATCTCAAGAGAAAACTAAACTAATTAAACAAGAAGCTGATTAACTTGTCATCGGAGAGACAGGGCGCTGCTCGCTGAATGTCTGGTTTTCGAGTTCGGGGGTGTAATTCGGTCGACCTCGATAGTTCAAGGGGTAATTCGTACTTTTTCCTATACTTAATTACATGAGCAATTTTACAGTGCTAGTGCTTGAGGAGTACCATTTTTTTAGGCAAAATTGGTTATATAGCATTGAAAGTTCACGTTTTTTTGTTTTATAGCCCCCAAAGTTACCGGGTTACATTTTTAACACTTTTTTTGCACGGTCCTGCTCGCCCTGTCCAGTCACGTTCAATCTTTTGTCCATTGGACAAAAGCACGCACTCAGCACGCATGCTCCCGATGCATTGTCCTGCTAGAGCAAAAAAACACACGCCTTCTACTACCACCTTCTCTTGCCGTGTTTAATCCGTCCCCGCTCCGGAACAACCGATGGCCATGGAGTTCTTCAGGTTTCTCTTAGATCATCTTTGTTCTCTTCCCTCTCACGAATCATTTCTTTACTATGGTGGACTAATTCTTGGTATGCAGTGATTCCGCTTGCGAGGATTGTTGATGCTGGTTTCTGATCTTGCTGCGTGCTCCTCGCTCATCTGTTGGTTGGAATGCTTGCTCAGCTTCAACCGGCAATAGGAGGGGCTCGGTAGCGCTTTTCGGGATCGGATCTTTGCTCTTCAGCCTGTTCCTCTGCTTCCTTCTGCCATTGTGAGGTACCGTTCGAGACTTCTTCCTTTCCCCTTTTGTGTATACCTTCATACTGCGCTGCATTTTTCCTTTCCTTTCTTTTCATTCGTTTTTTGAAGTTTATTTATCCTGCTGCGTTCTTTTCCCTTTTGCCATTGTTTGTCTGAGTGTTTGTTTGACTGCTTAATATTGCCTTTCTTTCCTTCCTTTCCTGGTGTGGTTGTTCAGCACAATTAGTTTGCCACGCACGCTTGCACACATAGGCCAAAAAAAAACAGAGTACTGTACAGCCCAGTTAACTAGACGTGCGTATACTACTTTCTATATAGTCACAGGCAGAGACTCTGGGTTCTAGGTTCCTCCTTTCTTCTTTACTCCTTGCCTTCTCTTTCACCGTCTTTACATTCCCATCCGCACTGCAGCTTTGCAACCACGGAGATGTTGTCCGTTGGGGTGTCGTACATCTCCTTGCTCAATGCCGTCGCATACCATTGTGGTGTGTCCTTCGTTTCCTACCTTTGGGAGCTCGGGAACGACGGCACCCTACTTGCGGGAGTTGAACTGCTGCTTCCGTGTGCCGGTTTTCCGGGAAATGCAGAGTGTAGATTCTTCTGGGTTGTGGCATCCGAGCCATATGATATGTCTCACGAAATCGCTGCTTCGGAGGCACTTCGGTTCCTCCAATCTAAATACGGGTTTGTTGTGCAGGATTACAACTACGCGTCTATGGTCACATATAGAAGGATGGCTATGAAAGCTATAGATTTAGCTCTTTCGGCATCTGCGTGCTTAGCTCAGTTTAGGGTACCACATGGTTTGCATGCTGACCACAATAATTTCCTTCTGAGGGACTTCAGTTCTATGTGGTTTAGGTTTGTTCTGGACGAAAACAACTTGTCTGATTTTCCACTATGGTGGTTATTCCTGTCCACCATACGTTATCCTGCCCGTTCGTGTGCTACGTTGTGAGTTGGGTTTTAGGCCGTTGTGTTACCAGTTAGTTTTATGGTCGTTTTTATGTTGCAGCTTAATTGGCATATATGTTATCTATGTATGTTGTAATGGACGCCTTGATAATAGATTGGTTCCCTTTTACTTTGATTCGTTACGGTACTAATATCCTATACTTTGCTGCACGGTTTTTGCTTTCCTGTTCCCTGTGATGTGGAATTAGCATGCTCCATTTCTATGCGTGTGTAGCCGATCTGTTATCATGCTGGGTGCATCGTCAAGTCGTGTCCCGTGATAGTAGAAAACGTCGTCAACTGGCACTAGGTCAAGGTTAGCATTCAACAGTTATGGTCTGAATGATGTCCTCTCTTTGTTAGTTTCCCAATGCTGAATTGCAGTGTGTGTATTTAGGTTATTTAGCAAGCCCGGTGTTTGGTGGGGTTGATCAGTGTGGAAGTGCAGCTGCTCAATCTGCTCCCAGTGCTGAGACATTGCCTGCTAATTCGTTTGGTGCTACTGTTGTGCCAGCTAATGCTGTAGACAACATGTTGCTTGCCGCACAGAGCGTCGGAGAGGACATGCATACCAAGAGTGAGCACAGAATGCTAATTTTCACATTTACTTTACAACGAATTCCCAACGAAAAGCTCTGCTCTAAGACCGATCATATTAGGAAAGAGAACGTTGCTGCTTGATATACCTTCAGCTTCCGCTGCAACCAATAGAGGGAGACGCCATCTTTTGTTTTTACATACCAAAGGCTTTGCGGGTTAGTTCAATGTAGATTGGTTATTTTTCTTATGCTATATTCAACTTAGTAGGTCCTCACCCGTGTGTCGATGACATTTTGCCGCTTCCTAAGGATTATGTTGAATCACTCAAAGGTTAACTATCTGACTTCTAGCCATATATGTCCTTTTCCCCTACTTTGCATGTTCCCTTGATGTTGCTTACTTGTAGCTCTCTATCCTGAACGCTCATATTATGGTGGCCCAACACACGAGTGCCCATACTGTGGTGCTGTGTTCTGGTATCAAGAAAGAGTTAAGAAATCATCTTTGGTGTCCAAGAGAAAGGTTGTGTACAACCTTTGCTGCAAGGGAGGTAGAATTGACCTGCCTGAATTGAAACATCCTCCCTCTTTCTTAGCTAAACTACTAAAGTTTGATGGCGATGCTCGGTCCAAACGATTTCTTAGACAAATTCGTTCCTACAACTCTCTCTTTGCATTTACCTCACTAGGGGCTGATATTGATAGGTCGATAAATACAGGCTCATCACCTTGTGTTTTTAAGATAAATGGCGTGGTCCACCATCGTATAGGAAGCTTGCTACCAAAACATGGTGCCCCACCCAAATTTGCTCAGCTATATATTTATGATACTGACAACGAAACAACTAACCGAATGAATATATTTGATAAAGAATCATCCAGTGATGGCCCTCCTGATAAACAAATCGTTGAAAAACTAGGGTCTATGTTAGACGAGCACAACGAATTGGTTAAGTCATTCCGTTATGCAAAAGAACGATTGGAGGAACATGGATACCAGGATACTGCTCTTAGGCTCATGGGTTGCAATGCTAAGGACGAGGTTCAGTACAATTTGCCTTCCAATGGTGAGATAGCTGGGATTGTAGTTGGTGACTACTCTAAAGATGCATACATTTACGATGTGTTAGTAAAATCCAAAGACAATCGATTAAGACAAGTTTCTGCACTACACCCTTCTTACATGGCTTTGCCATACCCTTTGCTTTTCCCATATGGAGATAGGGGTTTCCATCTTGGTATCAAATATACTGATTTCCGAAGTTTGGCTCCTACAGCGAGACGATATGTCACTATGCTTGAGTATTACATATATAGAATGCACTACAGACTTAATAAGCCTAACCCATACACTTGTTGTGGTAGGCTGAGTGATTCTCTAGTTGTTGATGCATACTCAACTGTCGAAGGATCGAGACTACAATTCATAGCTGACCACCAACCTGACCTATGCACTGAATGTGTACAAGAAATTGTTGACGCTATAGACCATGGTCTTTCAACAGGTGATTCTGTTGGAAAGAAATATGTTCTTCCATCAAGCTTTACTGGTGGGAGAAGATACATGGTTCAGAATTATCAGGATGCAATGGCGATATGTCGAGTTCTAGGTTCCCCTGATCTTTTTGTGACATTCACATGCAACTCTAAATGGCAAGAAATATATGATGCGTTGCTTTTCGAGCCTGGTCAAGTACCAAGTGATAGAGCTGATATGATAGTGCGGGTTTTCAACATGAAGGTTGATGAATTCATTTCAGACATTAAGGAAGGGCACACATTTGGTCCTGTTTTAGCAGGTCTGCCCACCACCTAAAAAAAATCCTTCATGTTTAATTTGTTATGATACTTACCAATTTCTGTTTGACAATGTAGTTTTGTACACAGTAGAGTTCCAGAAAAGAGGCCTGCCCCATATACACTGCCTTGTATGGTTAGCTGCTAGGAACGCGGACTTCGACCCAATTATTGTTGACGGTTTCATCTCAGCTTAGATACCTGATGTTCTAACTGATCCCATTGGCTATGCATTAGTAGATGAATTCATGATACATGGCCCTTGTGAGGACGACAATAAAAGCTGCCCATGCATGAAAAAAGGTTCTTGCTCAAAGCATTTCCCAAAATCATTTCAAGACGAAACAATGCTCGATGAGTTTGGCTTCACTGTTTACAAGAGACGTAATGATGGTCGCTATGTTGTCAAGAACGGTCTCAAACTCGATAACAAAAATGTTGTTCCTTACAATATGAAATTGCTAAAAAAATATCAAGCACACATAAATGTTGAATGGTGCAACAAATCGAACATGATAAAGTATCTCTTTAAGTACGTGACAAAGGGCTCTGATAGAACGAAGGTATACTTTGAAACAACAGACAAGGCATCTGACAAGACAAATCCTGCTTGAGCAGAGAGCCAAAAAGATACACCAGTAAATGAAATACAATAGTACATAGATGCTAGGTTTCTAACAACATGCGAGGCTTTTTTGCGAGCCTACGAGTTTGAGATACATTATAGATTGCCTTCTGTTGAACGTCTCACAGTGCACTTGCCTGGAATGAACTTTGTGAAATACAAAAAAGGAACTGATCTTACAAAATTATTGCACAGCCCTGCTGCGAATAAAACTATGCTAACTGAATGGTTTGAGGCTAATAAAAAACACCCAACTGGACGAAATTTAACCTACTGTGATTTCCCAAAAGAATTTAGCTGGGATAATAGCTCACGACATTGGCGTCCTAGGACACCATGTGTAAAAATTGGCAGAATCTATTATGTTAGCTCAACATCTGGTGAACTCCATTACCTAAGAATGTTACTGATGATAGTCAAAGGGGCATGTAGCTACGCTGATATTCGAACATTCAATGGTGTGGTATATTCCACGTTTAGAGAAGTATGTGAAGCAAGAGGCCTGCTCGACAGTGATGCTGAATGGCATTTGCTTTTTGATGAGTCTATTTTAAGTGCGACCTCATTTCAGCTTAGACAATTATTTGTCACGGTTGTCATGTTCTGTTCTGTTGGTGACATACGTGCACTTTTCAATAAATATTGGCTCTACTTTACAGATGACATTCAACGTAGACTTAGAAATGCTCTTTCAAACCCTTGCTACATTGTGCCACATGACCAGCTAATGTCATTGCTTATTAAAGGACTGGCCACAGTATTTGCAAATAGTGGTGGATGCATAGATGATTATGACCTTCCTCAAAGGAGCAATACGTCGGATGACATAGTTGGGAATAGGCTACTTGATGAAGAACTAACCCTCGACTGCACCGCTTTATCCTTAGATGCAAGTGCCTTAATCCCACAACTAAACAGCGACCAGAGAAAAGTTTTCGATACCATTATTGACCGTGTTAGCTTCGAAAAGCCAGGTTTCTTCTTTGTTTATGGTCATGGTGGTACAGGCAAAACATTCCTATGGAACGCAATCATATTAAAAATCCGTTCCGAACAAAAAATTGTTCTTGCAATTGCATCATCTGGTGTAGCTTCGCTGTTGCTCCCACGTGGCCGTACAGCGCATTCGAGGTTTAAGATCCCGATTGACATTAGCGAGAACAGCATATGTAGTATTAGGAGGGGAACTATTCTTGCAGAACTCATACAAAAAACTTTACTCATTATATGGGATGAAGCACCCATGACCCATAGACTATGCTTCGAGGCATTAGATAGAACGTTACGAGATTTATTGTCTGAACATGATCCTGCGAATGCTATTGTCCCATTTGGTGGAAAAGTAATCGTTCTTGGTGGAGATTTCAGGCAGATTTTGCCTGTTATACAGAAAGGTTCGAGGGCTTCAATTGACGATGCATCTATAACAAATTCACCATTATGGCGCCATGTTAAGCTCCTTTCACTAAAAATAAACATGCGATTGCTTAGATCTGGGCTTACACAAACAAAAAAAGATGAACTTGATAATTTTGCAAAATGGGTGCTTCATATAGGAAATGGTGATGTGCCTGCGACTCAAAGAGAGCGCGAAACTGAGCCAACATGGGTTGAGATTCCTCAGGACTTGCTGATTAAAACCGATGGCGATAAAATACCTGCACTTATAGATGAGGTTTTCCCTGATTTGTTGCACAATCACACAGATCCTACATACCTGTCATGCCGTGCTATTGTTTGTCCAAACAACGGCACTGTTGATGACATTAATAATTACGTTGTTGGTTTGCTACCTGGTGAAGAAAAGGAATATCTCAGTTGTGACACTATAGCCAAATCATCTGAACACATACCTGATCTTGATCTGTTATACCCAACCGAGTTTCCCAATTCTATTAATGTTAATAACTTTCCAAATCATCGTTTGGTTCTTAAGAAAGGTGTGATTATTATGCTGCTAAGAAATCTAAATCAATCAATGGGGCTTTGCAATGGAACACGATTATTGATCAATGTGCTCGGTGAATGGGTTCTTCAACGCACAATATTGACTGGATCTAAAATTGGAGAGATTGTTTTTGTACCTAGAATTTCCCTAAACACGACAAATTCAAAATGGCCTTTCACACTACAAAGACGTCAGTTCCCTGTTCGTGTTTGCTATGCGATGACAATAAACAAAAGCCAAGGGCAAACACTGTCGCATGTTGGTGTCTACCTAAAAAAACCAGTGTTCACACATGGGCAACTATATGTGGTGATATCAAGAGCAACTTCAAGGTCTGGTCTTAAAATCCTCATAGAGGATGATAATGAATCATGTGCTTCAGAGACTAGTAATGTGGTGTACCATGAGATTCTTAGATCACTTGAATCAGTGGTATGCTACAACAGTGTGACAGTGGCCTATTCAAGTTTTCAGATAAAAAAAAACTTACATCACATATATTTTCTCCGATGCAGGACCATGATACATAGCTATTTGTAAATTCGATGAATGGTTTCTCTTCTATTTAAGTTTTCGGCTCTGTTTGTGCTTTCCTCAGTGTGTTTGATTTGTACGTGATTTGATGTTTGCTCTCTCTTTATTTTACTCCATCCACCATTTTACATATATTGCATATCCAGAACTAACACGATCTTTTATTTATGTATAAACAGATGGGTGACTGCTTGATATCTCAGCTCGAGCTAGGCGGCAGCAAAAGTTGCCACTGTATTCGCTTGTCCCGTATGTGGAAGTTCTGCGATGCAAGTGATGAAACAAAACTGCTGCACAAGGCTTTGGTCTTAGTTGATGAGACGGTCTGAATCTTCTTTGCCCATGTTGATTTTTCTTTCATATGACACATTGTAGCAAAGTGTTGATCACATACTGCTTTTGTTTGCACAGGGGAATAGCATATCTGCTCAGATTTTCCCCGATATCAATGAGATTTTTGAGCCATTGTTGACTGAAGGAAAAATCTACTATCTGGCATACTATAGAGTCAAGCCACGTAACAAAATCTACAGGCCAGTTGCAAACAAGTTTGCTATCTCCCTCACAAAATGGACAAAAGTTGAAGAATATTTGGAGCCGCCATCCAGCTTTCCTTCATATGTCTACACACTGAAAAGCTTCAATGAGTTCCCATCACTTGTGGACAAAAAGGATTCATTCATTGGTACTATCTCTGTTCTATAGAAATAGCTAGATACTCAATTGATTCTTATATGCTCGGTACATTGCATGACACAAAATAATTGCCAACATGCAGATACTATTGGGGTGATCACTGAGATTACATCTATAACATCTGTTCGTTCGTGCACAAGGAATGCTGATAGCCTGAAGCGCAACGTTCACATGCGCGATGCAAAGTTAGATTTATCTGCTTCTTACAAATATATTGCTTTGCTTATTTTATACATTTCTGACATGACATGCTTCTGAACCTGACATGTTTACTAACCTGATAACCACTCCCACACAACATAATTAAACAACTCTTACTACCCTATTTTACTAGCAATGATACTATCCACATCTCGCTCTGGGGAGACCGTGCTACTGAATTTCCTGCAGAAGAAGTATTTGCAAAAGGGCAAAGGAACCACAAATAGTTATATTTGTTGGGACACTTGTCAAGGGTTTCAGAAGTAAGCTTCCTTGCTACATCTGATGTTATTGCTTTCTCTTTTCTTCCATCACATCTTACACTTCATTATTTGCACCTTTCAACTGTGTAGGGGAGGTCTACCTATCAGGAAACAATGCATGCAAATGGTACATCAACATTGGCTGTGATGAAATACAGAGTTTCAGAGATAGGTAATTCTATTAGGTTAAACTAGCTAGCTATTAGACACACATATAGTTAATTTATATGTTTACTGTTTTATACAACAGCATGAAAGACAAGCATGAACCTGTCAAGTGGCTTGATTTGCCTCCATTGAACGCGATCCGTGCTACAGCTGAACAAAAGACAATTGTTGAGATCAAAGATCTAAATCCTTTCGAATACAAGGTAAATTTCTTCTTACTACTCATATATTAACAAGATTTTCCGCATACTAACACATATCGATTCATAGAAGAACGAGTTCATCGTCACAGTTACTATCAAGAAAATAGATGGCCCTTGGTGGTACAATGCATGTGACAAGTGCAAGAGGACAGCAAAACCATATGGTTACCTCTATCGTTGCTTTGGCGATGACTGCCCACCAACTGTGCCTGCTTCCCCAAGGTAATAGTGTGTGACAAACATTGCATTGTGAGCGAAATCGATTGCTAAGTAGAGATTTCACACATCCTCCCTTACTTTACCGTTCACAGGTTCAAACTTAGTCTCATAGCTTACTAGATGACATCTGATACAAAGTTTATTCTTTTCGGACATATGGCACAAAAGCTGATAGGCAAATCAGTTGATATCTTACTAGATGACAACCCTGCTGGTGAGGAGTTCGAGCCAAAGGAAATCGCAGGGCTCCTGGAAAAGGAATTCACATTCAATGTTAGCTTAACAGAGACAACTCTGTCAACTGGAAATGTTTGTTTCCAGGTCAACAACATTCTCACTGGAGATGGCCCACAGAATCAGCTTTTACTCATGTCTCCTTCACCATCACAGGTATCTGCTAGGCACCCTATATTAGCAATGTCTCCGGCTACCTCTGAAGGATTTTCTATCGGCCAAGAATCAATTCCAGATACTCCTTCTGCTGGAATCAGTGGCCCTATGGTTACTCCAACAAAAGGAATTGATGTTATCTCTGAGTGTTCATCAAAAAAGGGGGAAACCAAAGCCTCCGCAATAGTAAAGGATGAGGTATTTTCCTTTGCATTTATTACATTGTTCATACCTGTGCTATAGATATACAGTACGCAATCTAACAAAGTAAACACGGTGTACAGGAAGACAATGCAACGCTTGCAACGCTAAAAGCTGCTGGTCTAGGTGCAGCCCAGAGCACTTCCAAAGGAACAAAGAAGAGGTAGGCTATATCAAATTCCTATGGTTGTTACTCGATAAGACATCACAAAAATCCTAACTGCACCCAAAATATGGAACAGGACAAGAGCCTCACCTGGAAGCACTGAAGCCAGGAAACTCTTCAGAAATGATAATGATGAGCAACAGGAAACAGGGTAAGCTTTATTCTCTCAGTTTCAAGCAAGCACACAACATTGCATATAGCTTCTTATATCATTTCTATTTGTTTCTACATTCTCAGTTTCAAGAAAGCAGACAACATTGCATATAGGTTCTTATATCATTTCTATTCGTTTCTACAGTGCCCAGGAGTCCACTTAGATTTCCATGGGATGGAGCATACACAGTTGCAGCTGAAGAGAGCCTTTTGTTACCGTGCTCTGTTAAATCCTTCCTGGCATGTAACCTGCAAACTGTATTTTGCAAGATTGGCTCCTATTGAGTAGAATCTACTGATGTCTTCAAAACTTCAACCTGTCATGTAATTTCATAGCTTATGTGTGAGACAGAAGTTTCCACTTGGTTTTGCTGCCAGTATTTGTAGTTATCATGGGCATGCCTTGATAACCATGAATTCTATTCAAAGCAATTGGAACCAATTTATCGATTGCATTCTACCATTTAGTCCTTTTTCTCCACGGTTTGAGTTCCTCTTTGCTCCAAACTATTTCTTGCTATATAGCAATTTCTTCTTGCTTCCGTATAGTGATATGTGATCTATTGAGAACACATAGCACGTTACATCATTAACTTTTTAAATCATATACGTTAGGGAAGTGAGGTGATAGAAAAAGCTACTAGCATCAAATGTTATATGCCTGCGTATTCAATATCGCTATCCACAGTTCACTGCCATATGTGACAAGACAACTCAAGAAATGTATTCAGTACTGAACCCAACAACCAATGTAGCCATGTCAGTTACCTAGCTATTTCTACTGGTTATTACTTCTCACTTTCTCTCTGTGCTTGCTCACTGCTCACTTTTCCTCTTCCAGCAAGGGAAGAGCAACAAGAAAGCATAAAACATCTCCACGAACTGAGGTAAGAGCATCAAAGATCTCTATTCTCCAGTTTCCCATACTACAGTACTACAGTTTCTACATCGCCGTTCTTACTAGCTCAGTTTCCTTGCCGTGCTTTTCGTCTTGCAGCAAGAAGGAGAGGGAAACAAGAACAACAAACAACCATCTCTACAAACCAAGGTAGGAGCTTCAAACATCTCCATTCTCTGGCTTTCCATACCACACTACTACATTAGATCGGTCTTATTAATGCTTCGAATTTCTTCCTAAATTTTTCCCCAGCTATAGAACAACCAAGATGAATTTATACACCAACGATGCTACATTCTCATACAAGGGTAAAGAACCAGCATATGGAACAAACCGTCCACTTAGAGCAACCAAGTTTAGCAGACCAAAAGAGATATGTCAGCTCCTAGCCGATGTGATCTATCAAAATGCTGTTGTTATTTCTGTTGGAGGAGCCGGTGTACCAATCAAAGAGAAGATAATAGCAATGTTGGCTGTAGTTTCGTGTACTGACACAGATGAAATAGCAGTCCTTCTTCCTTTTAGAGAGAAAAAGTACATTGCTTTGTTCATGGATAATGAAGAAGAAAAGGCTCATAAAGCTTTTGAGAAAGGCTCATTTACTTTCCAAACTACTCGGCTGAAATTTCAACCATTTAAAACCAATATACATAGCACCAAAAGACCTCTTCGTCAAAGAGTTATCCTTGCTTTAGAAGGAGTGCCGCCTGAATCAGTTGCATGGTTGAAGAAATATACGGTCAGCACCATATACAAGACCTGACAGTATCAAGGCTAGCTCCATGGACGACCGATATTGATCTCATACCAAAGATTATTGAATGGAACATAGAAACTAGAGGACCAATGGATCCATCTGAAGTTGACTGGAATCGTGATGCTGCTGGCTCTACAATTTTAGTTCATATTGAGAAGCTCTTTGATTACTTTGATGAGGACAGTGGTAGCGACACCGATGGCGAAACACTACGGCATTATGAAGAGTCAAGGCCAAGAAAACCAGTCATCAAACATTTTCAATGAACGCAATCAACAATTGATTCAGATAATGGACCTATCGAAGGCGGATCAAGATCAGATGTGATGCAGCGGCTTCCAACCGAACTCCGTAGGAACAATAGGTTCTAATTCACATCGGTAGAAACAATCAGTTCTGATTCACAGCATTGTATCGTATTCTTCCCTTTCTTAGCAGTATCCTGTAACGTATTAAGTTCGTGTGCTATTGTGTGATACTATTCTGCTTTGCAGTAGTACTATCTATGTAACTATGTTAGTTCCCGTGCTAAGTGCATGTGTACCGCGATAGTTTCTTGCCATGCTCACATGTCCCATGGACTTCTGTTCGTTGAATTTCTCAAAGTGCTATCCATCTGAATCTATACATCGCATCACCCTTAACACACGATAGGGCGCTGCGAAGCGCGCCTTAAGGTCTAGTGTACTTTATATATAGGCCGAGGGATAAGGGTATAAATGTGGTAACTTCAAAATGAACAGTGGAGACCACATATATCGGGTTGATATATATCTTAGGTAGTAAAGTTGGGCATATCAAGACAGAAACAATACTTGGACAGGTATGTAGGAGACTAGGGAATAGTTGTGTAGATAGGGTTAGAAGGCATCGGGATAATCGGACGTGCAACCCTCTCAAAACCTTCATGCGCGAGAGAACACCGATGCTCTTGCTTATGACAGAACACCGGTGATTGCACACCACTATCTAGAGAACTTCACACACCTAAGCCACTGTGCGAGCTGCACGCATGCGTTCTAGCCGGCCGGCTTGCTGCTTAGGTGACATGCGCCATCGCCATGGTTTGAAATTCGGTAATCTTGGCCGCCATCGGCAAGCACGAATCTCACCAAAATATTAGGTTTTTTTTATCAAATATTTGTAAATTTGGTAAAAATTTGTTCAAATTCAATCAAAATATGTTAAAAATTCAAATAATTTCGGCAAAAAAAACAAAAAATCACGAAATTTTTGGCAACCACCGAAATTTCTGAGCAACTGAAATTGCAAACCCTGGCCATTCATATTCAGCCCAAACTGCGCAAGCTAGGATATATAGTAGGCAGCAGCACTCATCAATATCATGCACAAGCTGATCATGCAGTACTCAGACCAAATCAAATATTAATGCAGATCGGTGCAGTGCTCTTTGTTATCTCTCCGTCCTCTTGAAGAGAAAGCTAGCTTAGCTGCAAAGTAATTGTACCCTCGATTAATTTGATTAATATATAGTGTTTTACTAAAAGGTCACTTGGGGATGTGGGAGAACTTCCTCACATGAATAGCTTAAATTACTTCCAAGGAGTTTACACAGAACAAACATCAACACGAATTAAGTTGTAGCCTTGTAGGTGCCCTAGAGTATAAAAAGAAGGGTTACAAAGAGGATAAAATACATGGAATAAAGAATAGGAGGGAGAGGGCACATGACGTTCTCCACGAGAATAACACACAACTAATTCCCAAAATAATCCAGAGTTGGCAATCTAGCTCTCCGATGAGCCAAAAACTTGTTAGACAGAAAGACATCCACCTCGCGATTCACTATGGAATAGTCGGGTACAGGGGTGAAGCTAATTAAGTAGTACACTAAGGGGGTTCCTAGGCACCCAGTTCCAAAAGAAAAATTAGTGCTTAATACCCCTCAGTGACTATATGTACACCCCCCTCAGTCAAGCTTGGTGTACCCCCACGCTAGAAATCAGACCACACAAGCACGAATGGCCTACAACCACAATCATGGCAGGAGCCCAATACAAGTCCAGCTTGCATCACCGTGAGGACTAATTAATTTGATTCATTGGAAGAGGTCCTAACTGTGAGGGATAGGTTTTCAATTACGTGATAACAGCTCTCGTGTTTTCAGATCAAATGGTTAGGGTTTGGAGTGAAATTATATACATACCGTGATATGCAATGTAACAACTGAAGGATAATATAGTTATTGTCTATTATTTTATCGAATGATGAATTTCAATTGGGTATAGGGGATCGAGTATGATCCAATCTCGAGGAGAAAATTATTGCTTACCATCCTAGTCTGAGAAATTTGATAGGAAGATCATAAAGAATGGACTTGAGAAAATATATTCTAGACTGGTATCTATTTTACATAATTAATTATTGTGTACTTTTTCAGTTGAAAGTTACGGTAATATTAGAGAAAATTCATCAGCCTTTTAAGAGGTCAACATGTGCATTGTACTAATATTAGTGCATTTATTTATTTGGTATGTAATTAATTTTGTTCTCTGCTTCTCTGTCAGTGCACTCCACTGTATCACTGATGATAACAATGCGCAAAAAACATTAAAATTTATTGTGATATTGCTTAAAATTATATGCTACTAGTGGTGCACCCCCCTCCATTCTTGCTCCGCCCCTGGTCAGGTACGAGTAATGCTATAGGGCCTAATGCCACGCACACTAGTACGATCCCCAGCGTCCAAAAGTCATTGTAGTAGCAAGCCATTTGCTCTATCCGAAAGTCTGACCTTTCCCATAGCACATCTCCCAAATTCTTTGCTTCGCCTTCATCATCGTGGCTTGGTTGTTTTCTCCCAATGTTTGGGCTGTGTTTAGTTCTTGAAAAAAGTTGGAAGTTTGGAAAAAAAGTTGAAAGTTTATGTGTGTAAGAAAGTTTTGGATGTGATGGAAAGTTGGAAGTTGGGGGTAGTTGGGGATGAAGTGCCCCTCCCTTAATTGGGGCTTCCTTTCCCAAAGGGTATCACTGGAGATTGATTTGACTCATACATTTATTGTAGCAAGCGCATCCAACACTCACGCAAGAGGTCCCAAATAGATATGTGTCGAACAATGGCGGGAGCATGGTTCACTTGTGTACATATGTACCCAATAAGAAACAACATTGTTCAATGAGTGAAATAGCCATTTTATATTATTAAATTTGAACTTCCGTAAATTTATACCATTTGAGCTAGTTTGTTAATTTCTTGCTTAATATCACCATTTTTCTTAAACCATGTCACTTAAAGATAAAATTTTTCTAGTTAAATTTTATATTATGTCGCAGCTGGATATGATATTATTGCTACATGGGATATGATATTATTTAACTAGATTAGATTATTGCTACATGAGATATGATAATTCGGTTTTTCAACACCTGAGACCGAACTAGTGACTGAATTTCTCGATCTCGGTCTGATCACTTCAGTCTTTTATCTATACTCTCCCCACCCGTAGCTATACGGTGAGTACTCGCACCCCTAATCAGGATGCGAACAGTAGACAGATGCTTCACAGTTGTCCCATTCTTGGCCGTGCGCATGCTGGCCGTCCTTAGCAGAAATTTTTCTGCATGACAAGGTACACTGGTGCCAGTTTCATCTCGTACCCTAATTTGTTGATAAATTCCGGTGACCAGTATGTAAGTGAAAAATCAACACTCCAGTTTATGTCATTTGGAACTTGCGGGTACTCTGTTCGAGTGATGACGTTCGGAAAAGAGCAAAATTCAATCGAATTAATGGACATAAAGGAATCATTAATGTACTCACTGCCATGCTATAGGTCTGTTCAACAATTAAAATGTCATGTATTTCCAACAAAACTTTTATTTCCAAGGGGATCAAGCTAGTTTCCAAGTTTTATTCCCAAGCAGATCATTGTTCTAGGTACTCTCTATATCCCAAAATATAAGGTATAACCGTCACTAAACATTTTTTCATTTAGATCACCCTAATAAAAACGATACTACAGTAGGATAAAAGATCATGACGATGGACGATGTAAAATCAAAGGTGTTTATTGGTTTTGTTATTTGGAATTTATTCACAAAGTGGTTTTGGAGATGATTGGATTTACAGGTGAATCGCAGGTTCTATTATTTTATGTGACCGGTCAGACCAGGCTCTGGTAGCCGGTCAGACAGGCGTATATTGCGCGGTCAGACCGGCGCAGCCTGCGGTCTAACTGGCCGACTCTTTGTCGATTTCGGTTTCGGGTTGTTTGTTTGGATATCCGTAATTGTTTCATGATTATGGCTTCTAGATGAATACTATACGTATGTAATACTGTTGTTTGCTACTAATGAGTCAAGTTGGAGATAGCTTGGTCTCGGAATATGGTTTCTTTGTTTATTTCATGTGTAGGTGACTCGATGTCTCGGGAGAGTATTTGCGGTGATAGACCGGGAGTCGGCTTGGGGATAAGACGACGTCCGTGGTGGTCAGAGATCATGCGGGATACTAAGGCTAGAGTTGATGCACGTGGTTGATGGAGATTCCATATGGCATACGATGGAGGTATTGTGTGCGTATGGGATGCGGAGTCGAATTTGGAAGGAGTCCAAATTTGGTATGATTGGTTATGTAAAGTTTGTGTCTTGTACTAGAGGGTTTCCTATGGTGTTTAAGAATCTTAGTATGAGTTTGGTTCGTGGCTTTAGGCTGTCTACCTCGGGTATAAATAAAGGGGGAGCGTGAGGCTTCCCGGTATCGTTTTTGAGAGCAATTGAGTTGAGTTTTGAGTTAGGATTTCGAGTTTAGTCAAAATTTTTGTAAGGAGTACTGTTGGTGCACTTTGTAAACACAGAGAGAATCAATAAAGTCGTCATCTACTTTAAGAGTCCTTCGATTTGTGTTTCACCGGGTTTCAGCGATCTTACCGGCAACTCACCGGCGGTCAGACCGGCGGCATCCGAGCGGTCAGACCAGCAGATCAATTCCGGTCAGACCGATCTCCGTCGATTTTGAGGGTATCTTTTATTTCCGCTAAAAGTTTTCGGTTTTTGGGTATACCAACCATTCACCCCCCCTCTGGTTGGCTTAGTTCTTGTGATTCGATCCTACAAGTGGTATCAGAGCCTTGTTTTCTTCTTTTGATTTTTATCGATCTAGAGTTTTTGCCATGGCTACTCCTGTTAGGTTTTCAACTAAGCCTCATGTTTTCGATGGAACGGATTTTTATCATTGGTGTAGTAGGATGCAATCTTACATTATGGCTGAAGATTATGATATTTGGAGAAAAGTTTCTCATCCTTATGTGATTCCTGAAGCTATTAATACTGCTGCTGAAAAAATTGCTTTTGAACAAAATTGCAAAGCTCGCAACATTCTTTTGAGTGGTATTTCTCGTTCGGATTATGATCGTGTTGCGCATTTTCGAACTGCACATGAGATTTGGAATGCTTTGAGTAACTTTCATCAAGGAACAAATAACATTAAAAAACTTCGTCGTGATATTTTCAAAAATGAGTATATTAAATTTGAGATGAAACCTGGAGAAGCTATGGATGGCTATCTTTCTAGGTTTAATAAAATTTTGAGTGATCTTAGATCTGTTGATTCTTCTTATGATACTAATTATCCACAATATGAGATTTCTCGACACTTTTTGAATGGTCTTGACATGTCTATTTGGGAGATGAAA